ACGAAATAAATAAAAAGCAAAAATCGACTGTATAATATATAAATCATTAGTGTTATCACTTTTATTGTCATCATAACTAGTGTTGCTTGCTGCAAATATTAACTGCGACTTTGTTATAGCGCAACTAGTGTTGCAACCTAATAACAAATTTCATATTAAAAATTGGTCATTTGCTACAAATTCAAATGTGTCGTAATATCGCAATATTGCAATATCGCAATATTGCACTATCGCAATATTGCAATATGTCCATATTGTTATATTTGATAGTTATTGTATATTTATATGATGAAATTATGTTGTTATTATATTGATATTATAATTACATCATTTTAATTTGTGCTCATTTATATTTTACATATATACATATATTGTATATAATGATATAATGAAATTGTATTATTATAATTACGATTTTATTTTAACTTGCATACTTTATAGATTAAATATATATCGATATATCTATTTATATTTTACATACATATAAATATTAATAAATTAATTTTGCGAATTTTGTAAAAAAATTAAAGATGACTGAAAATTTTAAAGGAAAAAAGCGCCAAGTTGAAATAAATAGTGATTCTGATAACGAAAGTACAAATGAACCAGTTGGACGCCAATTTATGGGTATTTGGAAAGAAATTGAGCTTGTTGAAGAAGTATCACAAGGAATTTATAAAGGAATATGTATTCATTGTAATAAAGAGTTTAATCGTGCCAAGCCTGTTAGAACTAGAACTTATATTGCACATGAATGTCCAAATTGTCCTGAATATATTAAATGATATTACAATTATATAATTGCAAATAATCTTTTTGATGATCCTAAAGTAGAAGATTATTCTATTCTACCAAAGGCTAATTCTGCAGCCAAGTTATCTAAACCTACGGTTAAACCTACAGTTAATAGAAAAAAAATCAAATCAACAAAATTTTCAGAACCACACAAGATAGAAATTGATGAAACTTTAATTGAAGCATTTGTTTCTTGTGGATTACCTTTTAATATTATTGAAAATCTGTTTGTAATCAAGCTTCTTAAAGTTCTTTGTCCAGAATATAATCTACTGTCACGTGAAGTATTAGCAAATAAAATCTAATAATGAATAATTTTTTTAATTAATTTTAATAAAAATTTAATTTTAAAATTTAATTTTATATTAGATCACTTGTTATATACACAAGTAGCTCGAGTTAATATAAAAATAGAACAAACAATTAGATTAACTTTGAATTAAACAATTTGTATTGATGGTTGGACAAGTCAAAACAAAATATCATTATGGTGTTTTATAATTCTTAATTCTGATCGTAAAGAGTATATTTATTGAATTGCTGACTATTCAAACTATTCACATACAGGAGAGTTCTTAGCACAACAAGTTCAACAAGTTATTGAAGAAATTGGATCAGAACGAGTAGCAGCAATTATTAGCAATAATGGATCCAATGTGAAACTTGCTCGAAAATTAACTAAACAACAATATAAACATATTATAAATCTTAGATGTATAGCACATACTATAAATCTAATTTCTAAAGACATTCTTAAGCATACATTTGCTTGTCAATTAATTAAAAAAGCTAATTTAATTGTTAAATATTTCAACAAATCTTATATGGCAAGTAACTTACTAAGAACTTTAATGAAAAAATATAATATTGTTGGTGATGGACTCAAAGAATATGTTGAAACAAGATGGATTACATTTTATGAATATATATCTTAAAAATTTTTTAGAAGAAATTAGAGATGAACATACTCAACATATTTTAAATAAAAAAGTTATTGCTATTTTAAAAGGTTGTGGTTTTTTTGATGATACACAATATTTAGCAAATATACTTTTTCCAATTAAAAGTGCAATCCATGTAGTTGAAGAAATTCAATCTAATCTAGCAGATTGTATATTGCTCTTTTAAAAATTGGTGCTGCAATTACAAAGTTATCTCAAGATGAATATAATGAATTTAGAAACTATTGCACTCAAATATTTAATAGACAATACAATGAATTTGATGATCCAAATTATCTTTTAACATTTTTTTTATATCCAGCATATAAAGGTGCAGGCTCAAATTTGGAATATTTCCCAAAATTGCATCTTATACTAGTGTTTTATAGAAATCTTTAGGAAAAAATCAGGAAAGTTTTGAATCATTAATAACTCAACTATGGGAATACAAATTACAAAAAGATTCTAATAGATTACCAAATGCATATTCTATGCCTTATTTATTTTTCAAGATACTCCATTAAGTTGGTAAAAAACCTGTAAAGTAAATCCAAATCAATTACAATATCTTGCTCTGCAGCTTTTTTCTATTATATCAAGTAGCACAGCTTGTGAACGTACATTTCTACTTTAAATTGGCTTTATGGAAAATAACGTTAACAATTAAATATACAAACTTTAGAAAATATTGCAAAAGTTTATCACTTTAATCTTTTACAAATTGAATTAAAATCTAAACATACAAAAAACAAAGAATTAACAGTAAATGATATATATATATTAGTTAATTCTTTATTTGATAATATTGAAGAGAAGAATAATAATTCACAAGATGATGAAATTGATCACGCTACTATTTTAGATTCTATTTATTCTACTGTTACAACAAAAAATTTAAAATTAGAAATCAGTACATTTGTTGATTTTAATTTGCAAATCTTTGAATCATTTAATAGCAATAAAAAT